TTGTGGCCCCTGATTTAGTCACAGTTTCATTCCAATGCACAGATTCGGTATGACCTCGTTTCCCCCAAATGTGTATTGTTTTTAGGGCGGCTTCGATGTTAACAGTAGACAGATAGCCATAGTAGAGGAGACAATTTGGGCTACATTCTTTAAATTGGCAGCAGAAACATGAAAAGCTAAGCAAGCCTATTCATAAAGGTTGCTGTAACAGTAATTCAGTCAAACGTACTAGAAACAATATGTAGCAAAAGTAATGCGAGTGAATAAGAGGATCAGAAAAGTTGAACCCGATGGCCACTATCCAGACCTTAAGGGCTTCTGGGTTTCAGCCTTGTTGGAGGTACTGAGCAGGTGTGTAAAATGTCAGAAATCAAAGAAAATCTGGTATAAGTATCCAGTTTTGGAATGCGAGTTAGAATGGAATCCCTAGGCCAAATCAAGCATTCTCTTTAACCTTTCATTACCAGATCGCACTCGATAAGAGCAGGCAACTGATCGTATAACAGAATGCTAAAACAAAACCTATTTAGTGTTTTATTTTTTTATAAGCTGTGTGATGCGGGTTCAGTATGTTTCCTATTTGAATAACAACTGGGTGATGAGGAATTAATAGCATTTTACTTAAGATCCTAATCGTATTAATCGTTCAGATATCTAAAAAGTGTATCAACATCTTTAATAATAAGTGGATTTTGATACTATCAATGGATCTTAAATAATATGTTGGAATACCTTCTATTTCTTTCGAAGAGGCGAGTGGAAGGGATTAATAAGTTGATCTCACTGGAAGCTGTAAGGGGATTGCATTGAAGTTGTGATTATAGATCTGTGCGATTAGGTCCTCGGCGCGCCGCCCCGCGGCCCTGGTGAAGCCTTATTGAGCATTCATCCGTCATGTAACGGACTTCGTCAGAGCAGGACACAAGGTTTAACGATAACTCACCAAAAAGATAAAGACAAAAAAGGTGACCCTTATAAATGGTCCTGATGTCCCACCTCCACAATAATGAGCCCCCAATAGGTATTTCCCTCCATCCTATTTGACACTATTCTAAAATAATTGCCAACCAGTCCTCGTGGATAACTGTTCTCAAACCAAATTATTCTTAGTCTCCTCAATTTGTGATCCCGATGATTAACATCTGCCAGACATAGGCTTCTTATTATCATAGACTCCATAACTCATACTTTAACCCCATAAATGTGGCTGGAAAATATTTTGTGTTCATGCAGTAGCGACTATGTGGGAGAGACCTGTAGACCCATACAAAGTAGGTTATCGGAACACAAAACAACCAACAAAGTTATGGGTCCAAACATCGGAAATGGCCAAAAACACAACTCGTACAGGACATTAGATAGATTGGTATAATGCTAAACACTTAGCTGGATATAAAGAATATACCAGCAAGCAAAAGATTAAGGAAGCGATAGAAATCAACAGAACAGCCAACACCTTGAATAGAAGGAATGAGTGTAGGAAGTTAAGTGGTAACTATATTTGGCTGTTTGATAGGATTTGGAAAAGAGGACGGTAACGGGAAGGATCGCCGAACAAAAGGCTTGATTAGGCTCGAATCTGGTTTTGACTCTTCCATCACACTGATTTGAAGAGCAATGAATTCACACAAAAAGCGTGCAATGGAACGCAATCGCATGCGGTAACATTGCGGGATCAAAGAAATATGTGTTTTAAGGGAAGATGCAGTTTTTCGGTCACATTTGCGCCAGTTCCACAATTCATCTTCCGCCACTTCACATTTCATCTGCAACCAATTAACTTACTTTTTGAGCAAGCATTTAGGCAAAATAGGATACCCAACCAAAAATGAGATGCTTAACTAAGAAGGAAGTATGTTTGAAGCCGGCCACCTTTCTTGCCTTCGTGTTTTGGCATGGTGTCCTGCTCTGACGATGTCCGCCATTAAGGATTCATCTGAGTCGTAGGACGGCGCGCCGTCTACCCATTCGCACAAATCTACAATCACAGCTCTAAGGAAATCTCTCAACACCCTTCGATGAGACCAACTTGTGAATCCCTTCCACTCGCCTTTAACACGAAATAAAAGGTACCCCAACATCAATATATTGAAGGATTCTTCAAAACCCAGTTTTTCTACTGATTTTAATACGAGCTAAGTCGCATAGTGATGAAGGGCTGATAGTTAAATTGTCCCACCTAGGCCACATAATGCCCTGTCATCCCAAAGGTAGTTTTATTGATGGTAAACTGCATTTTCCACTTCGCCTGGGTCTCATCAACATATAAAATTGGAATCTAACCCGGGAAGTGATGCCTCCACTACCCGGATTGTTGGAAGTGCTGATGAGATTCAGGCGATGTCGAATGTGCAGCTCATCCTGGATAAGATATCTGATGGAAGGTAAGTCAACGCGAAATTCAATATCATAAGGTCTATTCGGTCCGTTGTAGTAAAAGTTTTACATAATCTCAAGCGATCTGGAGTGAATAAAGCTCCTATCTGCCATTGTTTGTAACTTTAGGAAATCGTCATAATCAAGAGCTAAGATTTGGCTAATCTTGGCTCTGTTGATAAATAATGGAACTAATTACTCCCTCAAATTGTGACATAAGCATACGAAAACTCTCTAATTTTGATGTAGCAAAATGGATCCAAAAATAATAAAGAATCTATAAAATAATCTAGTTCGCAAATCTAAAAGCATATAAGGAGAGGCATGAAGTAGTAAACCAACTCAAAGATGACAAATCAAGATCATAAAAGAGTTCCAAAGAAGTAGATCGGATTGTAGCTTGCTGCCATTCTTATTTTTATGAGGGAACAGAAAAAAGCCCATCGGAAATGCATCGACTAAGCAAGGTGAGCCTAGGACTTCCTCGTACAATTCAACAGTAACCACTGCAAGGCGATAATAGAAGTACAAACTATTCTAAGATTACAACCTGGCCAATGAAGTCTCCAGTTTACAAGGTTCGGCAGCACAAAAAGCTGTTGGCAGGCCAGAAAATATGCAGAAGAAATGGTATGCCAAAATGTCAATGCCAAAGCGATTTATAGATTTGCATCAGAAGACGACGGCTGAGTCCCGTTAATCTGCAGTCGCCTGATTTTACTATGACGCGTAAAGTTAAAAGTCATAGAAACAAATAGCAACTGCAAAACATAGAGAATCAACCGCTGTCTTATGGTGAGATTTAATTAGGAATCTGTTAATCAAACAATTTCACGTGTAATGAACGTCTCAGTAAGAATGTTTCGTCAAAATTCAGTAATCCTATGCTTAGTTATTTGGTCAATGTATGCCAAATGCAAATCTAGAATCATATATATGTGCACGTTCATCTATGCGAACACACGTTATTGTGTGCATACGTATAGGCTGGCATATATTAATTCAACAAATCACTTCATATCTCACACAAATGAATGCATAAAATAGTTCCACTTATTTCCCAGGTGTGTATAAGAAGTTGAGTCAGACTAGTTCGTTTAAGATGGCGTAAGATTAAAAGCTGTATTGCCCGCAATCAAATTACTAGGCCTCACAACATCAAAGGAGGCGGACTTACCTCATGCATAGAGGACTGACTCGGTGGCCTTATTCGCCAGCCGACCGGAGCGAGGATGCTGGCCTCGCGGGCCCATGCAGACGACATGTGATAGACCCAGTCGCGTCTGACGGCGCTGCGACGGCTCGGATCCGTGTCGATCACGGCCAACCGGTCACCGGGATGCCCAAACCTTTCAAAGCCGACATGACCAGGCCGGCGACTCGTCTCGGCCTCCAACCGCCTTGATGCCACCAGGACTGTGTCACGAGATGCAGCAATCAAGGCGCCAGCCGGTGGGACGAAGGACTTGCCAGAGCCCATAGCCGTGTCTTTTGATGATACGCTCAGGTTTGTCGGAGTGTTCAGAGGACAGCCGGGTACCGGAGCACTGACCGTTGTGATCGTGGCTGACGCTGTTGTGGCCGGTATCGTCGTCATCATCGTGAAAGTCGTGCTGGTGGCCACGATTGGGCTACGAGAACGGCTTGGACTCCGACTATGAAGAGCTGAATCGGAGGTACTGGTGGCGGTGACAACGGCAGCAGCTGCTGCTGCAGCCGCAGCAGTGGAAGAGGAGGAGGTGGAGAAGCCGGCCTGGGCATCAGAAGCCAGTGGTCCTGAAAAAGTCTGCGCGGCAGGGTGAGGAGGCAAGTAATCTGGCGAAAAGACGCATGAAGTCTGGAGACTGCTAGTCGCTGTCTGCTGTCGCCTGGAGGCCTCAACACCCGCCTCATTGTTCAGCCCGACGTCGAAGCCTCCAGCCACGCTGTCAGGCAGATCCAGGCTGGCAGAATGATGGCCCTCCATGCTACAGGCTTCGATAGAGTCGGTTGGCACTGAATCGCGACGATCACGCACATCTGTACCACCGACTGCTGAAGAAAAAAAGGAAAGCTAAGAATAGCTCACACTACAATAGAAAATGAAGGATAGTTCCAAATCAATCTCGTAACTAATCCAATCTTCGACCTAGTTTGATGCACTCTGTCCGATGTCTTCTGCTAGAGTAGTTATCATTATTTCTGGCGTTGGACCATAGAGTTGTTACGTTCTGAGCCGTTTCTCTGGTATCATAATTGACGTCATCAGTGAGTTTGGCCACTCTCAGCACCAAGTTACAGCTCGCAGTCTCTTTAACGAGTTTTAGCTTGATGCTGAGAATGGCAAGACCCACTGACGATGCCGGAAAAACGTCCTGGAATGCAAAGCCAGCATGCATGTAAAGAGAGCATCAATCTAGCAAATTTGTACAAAGCGAATTAAAGGGAAACAGCCTGATGGATATGATTAAAGTAACTTTTTATGTATAATTGTTGTTTTGGTAGTGCAAGTCTTGATAGCCAAGCCTCGTCCAAGTGATAGCCTCGCGAAATAAAGGTAAAATAAAGGCATACATATTAACAAACACAAAGAGTAAATGAACAAAAGTTGACTAAACATAAGACAAGAGAGAGAATTTGGAAAAATTATGGCACGATAAAAGAGGCAATGAAGATAGGAGTGAATGATAAGCGACGAATTATAAGGCAATAGAGTGAAAAATTCAAGCAATAGTATTAAAGATTCAAGAGTGGAAGATATAAATATAACTATATATAAAATTTATTGACCCTATTTCATTTACGGTGATTAAGAGACTGGTA